CAAGCCAGCTAGACCGGTGCCCGGGTGGGACACCAACTTGGTAAGTTGTTTGCCTAGTTGTCACGAGGTGCCACGTGTCGCAATGGAGGGCCAAATCTGCCCTCATCGGTAACAAAATGTTTATTTTCTATCTAAAAATTGCTATTCTAAATTAGGGGTATTTATTATTTGGTTCAAACTGCATAATCCAATTGAATCAAATCAAATTTGCGATTTGATTCGATCTATACCTGAAACTATATATGGTGTAAATATATAAACCGACTCCTGAGTTAGTGAAAGGGAGGAGGGAGGAAAAAAAATCTACCAGAACCAAGCTTTTGATGATGTCGTCCGTGTGATATTCCGGCTCTGCTTCTTGGAGAGACAACAAAACGTCAATCAGCGTCTTCTTTCTCTCACCAGATTCAGAACTAGAGCTAGAAATGAAAGAGTCATCGGTCTTCATCTTCTTATGCTCTTCGATTAGTTCTTGCATAAACTCGTCCCTCTTCTGGTGCAGCCTCATCAGCCTCTCTTGTAACCTGTTGAACCCAACCCATCTTAAAGCCGGCATGTAATCTCCGATATGCGTTGCCGCAGATAGATAAAAAGTCTCCGTCACAATATCATGCAAACGCCTTGCTTTCTCTGATTCCTCCTCCACGTTCTCTCCGTAATACCGCTCTCCGGCTATCATCATCATTATCACATTGAGAGTTAACTCAAAAAACATCAATTTCATATCTACCTCCTTGGTACCAGAGGAGGCAAGCCGTAGGATCATTGATCGAACCTCGTTGGTGCGTGAGCGGGAAAACATCTGAAGACGATTGGTGGAGAAAACCTCGAGGCTGCTGATGCGTCTGAGATTGCGCCAGTGGTTGCCATACGAGGCCGAGCCTATGCTTAAATAGTTATAACCTATGTATTTTCCGGCAAGGAGGCGAGGACGGTTCGCAAAGAGGATGTCGTTGGTGGTAAGGCATTCCCCGGCCGCGGAAGGGGAAGAGACGAGGAGGACAGGGCGGGAGCCGAACCTGAGGAGTAAAATCGGGCCATATCGGTTGGAAATATCGGCAAGAGTTCGGTAAAGAGGGTTCTTGAATAGGTAGAGATGACCGATAATGGGTAGGGTGAGAGGGCTTGGTGGGAGTTTCCACTTCTTAATGAGTCGATATTTGGAGAGTAAAAGGAAGCCGAAGAAGAACAACACAAAGTAATACAGCAAAATCTCCATATCTGATATTGCGAATTATGTATTTGGAGGTGCATTAGGCGCTGCTGCTGTTGCTAAATATCAATTTCATTATTACGGAAGCACCGTTAGAGAAGAATCCCACCAAGACGCGTTCGAATAGGATACTCAAATAGGGCTGGCTGCATTCATTTAAAATTCACATAAGGGTTTTGACGTGGGTTAGCTTGGCCCATAACACATTAACGCATGCTAACGTCAGTCACAGTAGGCGAGAGCCCTGTTGCCTTCTTATCGAGTCAATCACTTAACTATTTGGTGTACCTTTAGGGCTTACAGTCTGACCTAGTATGGCTCTCATCCGAGATGCTCATCTCTACCTACCACCAGCATGCTATAAATAAGAGGTAGTTGCCTCTGAAAAGGGGCAATAACAGAGTAACTCCAATATTTACTCACTCATTTACTTCCTGTGCGCACATTACCCGCTAAACATTAATTCTGTGAGATATGGTGCATCTGAGGACCTTTTCCAGGAACACTCTCGCATTCTCCCCAGTTTCGCACCTCGTACTAATTTGAGCGTCAGAGCCTCCGCCTCGGGTATCCACCCTGAGGCCTCTGACATTGTGTTTTGCAGTTCCTCAGGTCACCAGGGACCTCGCCTTAGTCAGTAGTCCTCGGCTACCATAATCCTCACCTCGGTTTACCGTCCTCGCCCGCAGGCTTAACCTCGGGCCAAAAAGCCCAGCCCACATAAAATTCGAGCCGGGCTCGGGCTTTGCCAAAATAGCCTGGCCCGAGCCCGGCCCAGCCCGACCCGACCTATAGTTAAACCTAAGTAAACTCGGCCCGACCTATAGTTAAACCTAAGTAAAAACCCTATCTGATGTTCATTTGAATAATTTTCTTGATTTGAGAAGGTTGTTGATTCACTTGTAGGCCCATTCTTCATTTAAATAGGGGAAAAAACATCTGAATTAAAATAGATAATGTCTATTTGAATAGGGAAAATTTTGAATATCTTTTATTAGGTCGGGCTCGGGCTTCAGGCTTTTTATCAGGGCCGGGCTCGGGCCCAAGTTGTAGGCCCGTTGGTCGGGCTGGGCTCGGGCTCGGCCCTAACATTTTTCTGTTAATAAAGAGTCAAAGCCCGGCCCGAGCCCGAGCCCGAGCCCGGCCCGGCCCGGCCCATGAACAGGTCTACTTGGAAAGTGTGACAATCATCGAATTTCTTGTCAAGAAGAGATTTTAGCAGTTTTTCAACTCTCACCCTTTTTTCTTTTGTAATGTAAATTCCATTCACCTTGCTTTTGTTACTTTAAGAAAGGCATTCCATTATATAGTGAAACCTACTCAATCTGGGGTACCTTCTTTGAGTATTAAAATTGGCTTTTACAATGATTAGTTTGTTAGGATCTCTTTCATATCAAAACAAAAAATTAGAAAGATCCTTTGTTTATTGTTGGTTTTGATCAACATAGGAGTTCAACGGTATTCTAAAGTCTTAGAGTTGTTTGAATTTTGACATAGGTCCCATGAACACCTAGAGGTGTAAAACGGGGCCCCCACTAAGTGCGGGCTGTGCCATGTTGACCCGCGGGCCGTCTCGTGTTGTGTCGCGCTCCCCTGGGATAATTTGGGGGATCGGCCCGGTATGGCCCACGGCCCAATCCCACGAGAGCCCATGCCATGCCATGGGCCGGGCTGGGCCTTGGATCGGGCCAAAGCTATTTATTTAAAAAAATTGAAAAAAAACTCAAAATTTTAATTTTATATGATTTTTGATGTACACAATTACTTATATATACAATAATTAAATAAATTAGTATAATAAAATTGAAAACAATTGTTTATTTTATTAATATATTATATTATATTATATATATATATATAATATGGGCCATGTTGGGCCGTACTATGGGCTATGGGCGACACGACCCACTAGGTCGTGCCGGCCCAACTTGGCTCGCGGACCTAAAACCCCAGCCCCAGCACGACCCACACGAACGTGTCGAGCCTGGCCAGTTCAAATTCGTGTTGGGCCGCAGGCGGGGCAGCCTGATTTACTCCTCTATGCCCTTGTAACATTTGTTGGGATTTGCTTCTCAAAGAGTGCTCCTAACACCAACCTTATAGCCACTTCCCACCTTGTATTGGAAACATCTCCCCATGAATAATAAATGCAAGTACGAGAGATGTTCCCGATGTTTGACCAAGACATGTTCCCCGGGAATAATAAATCCAATTTGAATATGATCCATTTACAACCCTATTGCCCGCATTATGTATGGGCTTGATGCAAATCTGAGATAGGCTCAACTTAGAAGAAAATAGTTTCTTAAGCCTAGAAATTTACAGGTCTAGTTGGGTTTAGCTAAGTTATAAATAATCATCCTTAAGTAGGAGTTTTATTACATTTCTATTTGGGTCATTATTTGTTTTATTGTTTTAATTAATTTTTATATAGAATGCAAATGGTTTATTTTATTACTTTTAATAAATTTTTTTACTTTTTACTATTAATTTTAGATATTTTTAAATATCATTCAAATGTATTTTAATTTTTAATTTATGAACTACTAGTTTTTATAAATTTCTTAATTTTTAATAGTTTCTTGACAAAAACTTGCTAAACTTTAATATTTTTCTGAACTTTAATAATTTTTTTTTATAATATTTAGTTATTAGGTTTTAAATTACAATTTTCTATAACTATTTATGATATTTATATTAACTAATTTTTAAATTGTTATTTGTTTGAGGGTTGGATTGGGCTGATGTAGCATAACCTTTGGGCCTAGATCGGAAAAAGAGTAAATGAATTTTAAGTAATTTAATGGAGTAATTGAGATGAAAGAATTAATGGAGTATTTATTGAAGGAGAGAGAGAGAGAGTTAATAGATGATCAAATGAGTTAATGAGGAAGAGGAGAGATGAAAGTCTTAAAGACTTAAAGTTGCTTGGTTACTTGAATAATTTTATTCAATTTTAAAAAATAGAATTAAAAAAATCATAAAATAGATACATGATAGGGGAGAAAGGAGAACCATGCTGACATGGCATGGCACACCTTGAGCGTACGCACGTGTGTGTGTATAATTGAGTTCCATGTGGCTATAAAATTTAAGTCCGCCATAGATGATATATTGTTATTGCACACGTGCGATTTTGCTCTAGTAATATATAATACTTATACTTCTCTTGATTTATGTGCAAATTGTAAAAATTAGGTATGTTATCTAAAACTCACCATGATGATTACACATTTTTTTTTATATTCACCATGATTTTTAGAAACCGCCAAAAATCCCTCTGTTAGTGAGTTCTATTGTCCAAAATTCACTTTCTGTAAAAATTTCCATTACATGACTAAAATACATATAAATGGCTAATCAAGTTCATTATAGATTTTTTTAAAATAAAATTAGCCTTAACCTCGGCCTGAGCCCACACTAGGCCCACAAATTTTATGGTGAGTTCTAAGCCTAATACTTTAAGTCTGGTCTAGGCCTAAGCCTAGCTTTTGTAAAATAAAATGCTTAAATGCTTAAGTGAACAACTTATGTTAAAGGTAATTGATGAGGCCCCATATTTACGGCCTTGGTCTGTGCCACAACGTGCCCAAGAATGAACCAAAGAGCTCCTTGGTGATCTGAATTGGCCTGACCACTGATCCGAATAATTGGAACCATCTCTGTGTGTATGGCACAACTGGATAAGGACATTGCATTTATTGTCTTTAATTTACCTTGGACAATTCAACTAACCTGTTAACTTGAATGTTGGAGTTCTAAGCCTAGGATATCAACCAAGGCTCTCTGACCTGCCTTTGCTTTCTAGGTTTTCACCTTATGTTTGGATTAAAGTTTCAAGTATCGACACGTATTGGCCCGTATAAGTTAATACGTATCGTTCCAAGATCCCTCCGATACACCCACAGGTCTGACCGGTTCAGGGGGTAGAGGAGACCTAAACTGGCCCCCCTGAACTAGTTGCGAAGAAAATAAAAAAAAAAGGCCTGAACACTGTATCAATTCACCCATACCGGCGTATCGGGCATATTATATTTTGAACCTTGGTTTGGACCGAGCTCCAGCCTGAAGAACCCAATAGATCAGTATTTCTTATTTGGTTACTTTGTTCATCATCATTAGGAGTTCAATATAAAAATCCATATTGAATATGGGCCAAATTCAAATTGAATTCTGTTATTGAATTGTATTAATAATCGAATTCAAAATAACCGTAAATTTATATCATTTCTTTTATTATTTACACATATCTGTATGCATGTAGATATGCTAGTCAGACTCAAATCCTAGACTGAATAAGGTTATATCTGCATATGATCTCATTATCTATACTACTTATAAAAATGTGAATGGGTCTTATTTTTTGGAATTTTTATTGGACGGAATTTACCCCTTCATCTTGAGCTATCATGGGAGCAAATTTATATTTTAATAAAAAAGCATTAATTGAGACAATAAACCAAATGAACAACATTTATGAAAAGAAAGTTTAAGACCCCATCTATACTACTATTAAAAGTGTGAATGGGAGTATGGAATTTTTTGTTTGACTAAAATACCCCAACTTTTTTTTTATTTTTAATTTGGTCCCCCTCTCATTGTAAGGATGGAAATGTAATTTGAACAACTATTATTTTTCTCATCCAAATCCTTCTCATTAACTCTTATATTTAAGGTACATAATAACTACCAATAATATTCATTGAATCCTTTTCTTGATTAGAATACCCCTATCTTTAAATTTAGTCTCTCCAATTATGAGAGCATAAAATGTAATTTGAACTACTACATTTTTTCTCATTCAATTCCCTCTCACTAAGTTTATATTTAGAGTATTAACTCTTATATTAATTGACCATATTTAAAAAAATAAGTGTGCCAAAGAATGATGATAGAAATAAAATACAAATTTAAAATCAATATGAAACGGAGCTGTTTTCCTATCTAGTAGCAAGTTAATAATTCAACCTTTTAGGTTAAATATGTAAACCCTTGATATAATAATTCAATAATAATAAAAATTAATTAATAAGAATGAAATCAAATTAAAGTATAAAAAGTACAAAAAATAATTGTAGAAGACATTTGGACACATCTCTAATATCATATGTTTATCATGTTAAACAAAAATAAACATGATAAACAAGAATAAAATTGTAAAAAAATTTGAAAACATATTCTTATTATCATCATAAAAAATTATTACATGCTGCTTTGCATACACTTACTAATATATATTAAACATATCTATGTTTCAAAGTATAAATCTGATCGATTTTTTTTCCATAAAAAAAAGTCTGATCGGTTTTGGCAAACTAGTCACGAGAATCTATATTCAAACGGCCTTGGACTTTCTGACTCCATTGACACTCATACATGTAACAAATATCGGCATTATATAGTGAAATCCAGCTTCTATCAACCATAAATCGTCTGGCTCCCTCTGAAGTATTCGGTTCATCTCGGGTTTATCAAGTAATTCACAAATAATAACGAAAAATCTAGAAGTAACATAACAAGAAATTACATCTGAACGCCCATAAAATTCAATTATAAGGGGAAAGCGATGAGAAGGGTTTCAAGGTTGAGATAGAAGGTTCATCATCTTTGGGCGTGGCTTACACTTTGCTTTCAAGGCCTGGGCTTTGGGCAGGGTGAGTCCCCCAGCTCCTTCGGTCATGTCCACAAGGTCGTCACCAACCCTCTCCCACTCGAAGCACTGAATAAGTGAGCCCAAAGCTAGCCCAACCACGCGCTCAGCCAACCCCTCCCCGGGACAACCTCTCCTTCCCGATCCAAACGGCATTAGCTTGAACCCATCTCTTCGCCCTTCAAGCCCTTCGAATCTCTCTGGTTCGAATTTTCCGGGTTCCTCCCATATTTTAGGGTCGTTGTGTATGGCCCACAAGTTCACTAGCAGCATGGTGCCACGTGGGATATCGAAACCTCCTATAACACAGTCCTCTGATGACTCATGGGGTACAAGAAGGGGGCCCGCTGGATACATCCGAAGTGTTTCGTTGATGATACAGCGAAGATAGGGGAGCTTGGATAGATCGGATTCATCGAGCAATCGGCCTTGTCCAACATGATTGTCTACCTCGTCCTGGGCCTTCTTGAGGACGTCTGGATTGTTGAGCAAGAGTGACATTGCCCATTCCATAGTTCCTGCAGATGTGTCGGTTCCAGCTGACAGCAATCCCTGTAAAGAGAAATATTAGGATTTTCTGGACAGGCTTATCTAATCAATCAACTTCATTATGCCAATTAACTTTGCTGGTAAGTTCTTCCGCTGGTTGTAATGGAGACTTGAGATCTAATGCCACCTTACGCCAAGGTTGGGGATGGGCTATCGCTGTTGTGTAGTCGCATGGAGCAAGAAACAATAAAAAAAAAAATGTTGGGGATGGGTTACCGCTGTTGTGTAGTCGCATGGAGTCAAAAATAAATAAATAAATAATTTTATCAGATGAATGCATTTGATAGTATATTAAAGGGGGGTGTCTTTAAAGTGAATTATTTTTTTTGTTGACTTCTGGAAATAAATGAAAACCATTTGGATTGAAAATAATTTGATTCTTAAAACAAAAGCATAGAAAACGTTTTCTAGTTGTATGTATTTTTATATCTTAAACTGAAACAAAAAATAGCTTTTCATGCTTAATTTAGAACACGGTTTTGTTTTAATTTTGCTTTTTTCTGATATGGCAATTTCAATAACAAAATAGAGCAAAAAATAAAATTTTTCCTGTGAGACGGATAAACATAATAAATAGAATATTTAAATATGAAAAATTCATATCCATTTATTGGTTGCAAATGAGCTCTAAGCCTATGGTCCAGTACGATTCATCCGGGTCGAAGCCGCTAAGAGAAGAAAATGTCAAAACAATGAAACTAGGCATGCTAAAGATTGAAAATTCTTTTTGAACATCCTACAATTTTGAATTTGAATTTTCTCCTCACAGAATAAGCCCCACACTAACTGTGCATTAGAAACATCTTTCCATAAATGATAATATCAAGTACGGGATATGTTCTGATCTTCATGAATAAAAGTTGTAAATGTGTCTTTATCCCAAATTAAATTCCTGAAATTTTAAAGTTGGGAGTGGTGGGTCCTTTTCCAAAACTAAAGCTGGGATGGGATCTAAGTGTTACCATGCGCAAAGTATGAAATCTGTAATTAATACTAAGTGTTAGGGAAAATTCCCCATCGTTTGGCTCGAGTAATAATTTGATCTCAAAACTTTAAAATATGATAATCTAATATCTAAATTTTTGAAATATGACAATTATCTATATTGGACAGTCAATTATGTATATCATAATGACCTTATGTGTGATTTAATATTTTGAAAATGTCAGAATTACCCTTGAAAATAAAACACATTGTTCATCATCTTCTTCCTCAATAAAATGAAATAGAGCCTAATCTCTTTGTCACAAACACCACAAACATTTGCCATCGTCCTGCAAATATGTGTGATCTCATGTAGTGTCCACTATTAGTAATGCAAACTAGGTGAAGAATACTGTTAGGGGTATAAATGGATCGAATTTGAATTGGATCAGGCAATATTTGAATTCAAATCTAATCAGAAAATTCGATTCGATATCCAATATTGAAAATTAATACTCGAATTTGAATCTGATTAAATATTCGAATATTCGATTTGATTCAAATTCGATTAATTAATTATTTTAGATAATTAATAAATATATAAAATAAATATTTTATTGATATAAATATATAAATTATTTATATAACTTAATTGTTATATATAAATTATATAAAATATTTTATATATTATATAAGAATTAAATAATTGGTCGAATTCGAATATTTTTCTAATCGAATCAGGACATATCTGAATTCAAATCTGATTAACTATTCAGTATGAATAGAATATCCAAATTCGATTCGATTATGTCGAATATCAAATTTGAATTTGGATTTTCGAATGCCATTGACACCCTAAATACTACAAATATGTGTGATGTAAGAGGCAAGTATGCAACGCCCCCACCCCTAGAGGTACAAATCGTGCATTTTGGCATGACACAATTTTGAGCCGGCCCAACTCGGCATATTGGATTGTGGGCTATGTTAGGCACATGATCGTATGGACCATATTGGGCCTAGGGTTTCAGGTCCATGGGCCGATACGACATGGTATGACTCAGTGGGCTGTGCCACCCGTGACCTAGCATGGCCCTATATATAATAATTATATATATATATATATCAAAATTTATATATTTTATTATTTTTTTCAAAATTAAAAAAAAAACATGGCTTGATCTAGTCTACAAGCTGGCCTGACCAAGGCTCGACTGTCGATCAGCCCATCTCATGATACGACACATGGGCATAGCACACCACGGGCCTGTGCGGGCTCGGGCCATGGGTCATGCCGGGCCGTGCTCGGCCCGATTACACCTTATTGCTTTGTGTGTGTGACGTTTGAGATGACGTAAATGTATGGTAATTTATTAATTACTAATTATTCTTAATAAATACTAAATAACGATAAAAGGAAAAGGTTAGAAAAAACAAAATAAAATAACGAAATCTGGATTCGGAAAATAACTACGGGAGATGTTCACAATGCATGATAGGATGTGCGGAGGAAATAGGATGTGAGGAACATATTCCATCACATTGCAAACACTCACATGCACATCCACCGTGCATTGAGAACATTTTCCGTACGGGAGATATTTCAAATGTCTCATTTGGGAGGAGCGGATCCCGCTTCGATTCCGGAGGGAGAGGGTTCTGCTGCTCGCCACGCCGTGTTCGCCCGTGATTGACTTCGTGGCGAGCACCAGAGTACCAGATCTCCAGTTCGAGTGAGTGAGTGAGTGGGGTGGGACTTGGGAGGGAGGAAAAGAAAACTACCAGAACCAGGCCTTTGATGATCTTGTCAGTGTAGTATTCGGGCTCTGCTTTTTGGAGGGACAACAGAACGTCGATCATCGTCTGTCTTTCGCCAGAGTCAGAAGCAGAGTTAGAAGAGGAAGAGTCATCCGTCTTCATCCTCCTATGCTCTTCGATTAATTCCTGAATAAATTCGTCCCTCTTTTGTTGCAGCCTCATCATCCTCTTTTTCAATCCGTTGAGTCCAATCCAGCTTAAAGCCGGCAAGTAATCTCCGATATGCGATGCACCAGCTAGATACAACGTCTCCGTCACTAAATCTTGGAAATGTTTTGCTTTATCTAACTCCCCCACGTTCTCTCCGTAATATCGCTTTCCGGCGATCATCATCATCATCACATTGAGCGTCAACTCAAAAAACGTCGACTTCATATCCACCACCTTGGAACCAGACGAAGCAAGCCGTCGGATCATTGATCGAATCTCGTTGGTGCGGGATCGGGAAAACATCTGAAGACGAGTGGTGGACAAGATCTCGATGGTACTGATGCGCCTGAGATTGCGCCAGTGGTTGCCATACGAGGACCAGGCGATGCTTGAATAGTTGTAACCAATGTATTTCCCAGCAAAGAGGCGAGGACGGTTGGCAAAGAGGATGTCGTTGGTGGTGAAGCATTCCTCGGCAGCGGAAGGGGAAGAGACGAGGAGGACAGGGCGGGAGCCGAATCTGAGGAACGAAATCGGGCCATATTTGTTTGAAATATGAGCTAGAGTTCGGTAGAGTGGCTTCTTGAATAATAGGTAGAGATGCCCGATTATGGGTAAGGTGAGAGGGCTCGGAGGGAGTTTACGTTTCTTACCGAATTGAAATTTGGAGAATAAAAGGAAGCCTAAGAAGAACAACACAAAGTAATATAGATACAGCAACACATCCATATCTAATAATTTTGTGAAACTTGGAATTTGATGTGCTTTCTTTACCCTTTACGCTATGCTGGTGCCTGGTGCCTGGTGCTGGTATTATATAATAAACTAAAGTATATATATATATATATATATATATATATGCATTAGTGAGTTGGTTGTGGCCGGGGAGGCCTTTGTCCAAACGCGTTACACGATCCGCCAACCACCAAAACACAAAATTAGTGCATGATAGTGACCACCTGTCCCACAAGTGTGCTTCTCAGTCTACGGTCGTTTTGACAGCATATGCGAATTGAGTCGATCGGCTTTAAAGGCAATTTCCAGCAGGTTTCATCTAATCCAAATGTCCAATCCAAAAATCTTTCAATTTTGATTTTTAGAGGAAAAAGATGATGACCTATTGTCTTATTTTGGAAAGATAATATTAATGTTTTGAAAAACTTTAACTCGTGTTATTATGTGATACAGATAATTATTGGTGGACTGCTGATTAGGTATCAAAATAGAATTAAGCCCAAAATACAGAATATTAATATGCAATTTACCCATGACTGTTATTGCGGACTCGTTCAACGAGTGTGATTACGGACTCTTGACTTACCCCTACCTTCTAGAAATAGAGAAGACGACCGTCCAACGTTGAAAGGTCGGACTTGGACCATATTACTTTTCCTTTTTCCGACCCACCCACTCTCTGACATCTCAATTGACCACCCGGTGGTCAAACAAAGAGAGACGTAGATAAACAAGTGATCCTATTTGACGATTATGCCTAGATTGGAGGTCTGGTCCGCAATTACCGGGTCCAACATTCTTCTTTGGTTCACGGGCCGGGGCTATACACAACGGATCATGGATCTCTTCAAATCAAAAAATCTTAAATTGGTGTACAAACACAAAGAACACTTGGAGCTAGGGCTGCAAGTCGGGCCAGATTAGGCTGGGTTGAGGCCAACCCTAGCCCAATTTTAAATTCTAAACCCTCAATCCTAACCCTAACTCAATTTGACCTTCAATCTGATTTATCTTAACCCTAACTAAATTCCTTCAACCTTAACCCAATCCCTACGAACTTCTAAATCTCAGATCTTAACTCAACTTTCATTACATATATTAATCCTATGTTTTATTAGTATTTATTTGTTGATGCTTTTATTGGTTCTTTAAGTACAAAATTCAAAGAAAAAAGTGTTTGAAATGATTATAGTTTATTATGAGTTATAGCTTATAATAGATCTTTTGAGTGATTAAGCTATGGGTGGCAAACAACAACGAGGAGATAAAGAATAAAATATTCAAAACACATAAAAAAATGTTATTAAGGTTTTGGTATTTCCAATTAAATTAAGTGAAGTGATTACCTTAAAAGAAATAAATGATAGCATGTAATAAGGGCTATACAACTATCATACATATAAACAAATCAATGTATGATATCATATATTTATATATGATATATACTATATAATTGGGTTCATGTTGAGTTGAATTGTCCGAGGGATCAACTCTAATCTAACCTGAAGTAAAGTCGGATTCATAAATTTCAACCCTAACCCGAGAATCAACCCAACCCATTTCAACTTTTTAAGGTTGGATTCAAGCCAACCCAACCCAAATTGCAGCCTTACTTAGAGTTGGAGCAGGGCATTTTAGCTACACAGAGGGATATTTCTCGTATCCCATCACTTACGCAGGGGAGAACGGACAGTCCATCCCCTATACCCACCCACTTAGAAAATTGATTCCGCACTGGCACTTATTAGTGTCAATTGACCACCATGCATGGGCCTAAGCAAGGGAAAAAAATAGATAAAGTGATAACTACTGATCTAATTAAACAATTACGCCAGGACGGGAGGACTCTAAACTGAGATCAGCTTCCGTCTGTGCAAAGCCCGTGCGAACAGCCATTACAGTTTTGCATTGTGAATACTTTTGTGCTCATGTGCTTTATCTCTGGTGAAGGTGGGATATTTGGATAATTGTCAAAAGTTGTTTTTAATGTTTTGTAACTGTCATTATAGGCCTAATGTTAGTAACGGATTTTAAAATCTGTCACTATAGGCTATAGTGGCGCCACTTGTAGGGACGGATGAAATTTCGTCATTTTTTCGTTACTATAAATTTTATATTGACGGATTCTCAGTTTATAGTGACAGATTTTGTCCGTCACTAAAACTCATTTATCTTGTAGTGATTGGGCTTTCTAGAACTATTTCAAGCCTCCTGAGTTCCTAATCCAACTTATCTTGGCAGATGTTCTTGGCCGTGTGCAAGGCCAATTGACAGAAGTCTGTGATTCCTCTAAGAACAAAGCCTTTTTTGATCGATGGAACATGCATGTTCATTTCAGGAATCCTATTAAGACTTGGCACTCTTGGAACCCCCCTCCCCCTGGAATGGTGTGTGCCAACATAGATGGGTTCTTAGGCTATGTTTGGTTTGAAGGAAAAGGTTGGGAAAGACAGGAAAATTAATACAAGGTTTGTTAAAGTTTTCTTACCTTTGCCTTCCTTTTCCTATATTTTCCCTTAAACCAAACATAGCCTTAATGATTCCCAGATACTTAGTTTGGAAGAAGTACAAATGCAAATGTCTAGAATGCAAAACTTTATATTTTGTATTATTTTTATATATTTGTAATGAACATATTTGCATTTGTACTCTTTCCAAACTGAGTCAGACTTGTGATTTTGGCTTTATCATAAGGGACCACCTTGGGTCCCCTCTTTGTGTTGTGGCTGCTGGAATGCAGCCTGTCCCTATTCTGGTCCAAGAGATGGAAGCCATTCATAGAGCAGTCGTGGAAGCGAAAAGTAAAGGCATCAAGAAGCTTCTGGTCCAATCGGACTCCCTCATTGCCATAAACAGTATAATTGGAGCGGTGGAGACCCCTTGGAGAATTTGGTGGCACATCGCAGAAATCCAGGCCTTGAGGCGTTTTGAGTTTTTTTCCTTTGCTCATATATAGCTAGAGAGCCTAACAGAGTGGTCAATTTTTTGTCTAAGGTGTGCATGGGCGTACATGAGTTAATCTTGTATCCTTCGGCCTTCCCGGCCGAGCTCTCCCGTCTCGTTTTAAGTGATATGAAGGGAGCTCAAGCTCGCCAAGTGTAATACATCCGCTGAACTTTTTTATATAGTTATGAGTAAACCCCTTGATTAGAATCCTCGCACAAAAAATGTTCAAAATACTCATTCAATTATTAGTAAGCTGATTTCAGAAAAAAATAATATAAAATTTATGAAAAATAAAATAAATAAGAGAGTTTAAAGCTAGAAGTTAACTTTCATCAATTGATTTGAAGGGCAATTTTGAAAAATAAATCAATTTTAGAAAAGAGATTGGAAGGGTTTGGAGTAGCATTTATATGAAGAGAAAATATGGAAAATAAACATTTTGGTCAAAAGTAATCGTATGGATATTTTGGACGTTTCCATGCCTCTTATTTGAGAATTCTAATAGAGAGGATCAACTTGCAATTGTTTTAAAAAGTTTAGGGAGGTGATTACAATTATCGAACTTCAGGAGAGGTTATAGTAACTGCCAAAAACTTCAAGGGAGGCTTTAGCAATTTACCCTAATAAATATTCTTACAAGTTACTTTTTATTGAAATGTATTAAAAGTTATTTTTTAATAAATATTATGACAATCTTCATGTCAAAAAAACAACATTTTTTCATTGGCATGTCAATTGATTTTGTTTTAGAAAACAAAAGCATTTAGACGAACACACCTAATTAGCCTATCTTATCTGACAATGTGGCAATGTGGTTGCCTACTCTTGGGTCACTCCGAACATGTTTGGTTCGCTGCTTTGTGCCTCATTTTTTTTTTAATTCTTTCTCATTCTAGGTAAGAATGGGTAAAATGAATAACATTAAAGAATTTGGTTACAAAATTCTTGCCATGGGCCTCATCTTTTTTTTAGAACGAAAAATCGACCCATAACACAAAAATTGAGGCATCTTGCAGCATGAAAAATAATCATGCCTCATCTTGTTCATTTTCATTCTTTAAAGAAACTCTATGATAACAATTATTAATCACCACCCTCACTCCTAGATCTACAAAACCACCACCATTAATGTTCATTGATTGTCGACCATCCATCGGTAAACATCTATGCAATGATTTTGGAGACCTAGGTTGGCAGTTTATGACCGCTAACACAGCTTTGTTCAATGTTTTAAACATTGACCCAGAATCGGAATCATTTAGGCTATTAGTTTCCAAGTTGACGACTCGACTACCTGATTTGAACGGATGGCCCATTCCGACAAAAAGAATTAAAAATCAAAATAAAAAACAGCCAAAAACCATTGAATGGGTCAAATAGGTTGATTGTTCAACTGCTCGGATCAATGGGTTGTTGACCAATTCAATAGTTTTTTGTTGGGAACTGGGGTAAAACTGAACCGGTTGCCTAAATGGTTTATGGTCCTACTGTCCAGGTCAACAGTAGTTCGAAAATGTTGGTTTTGTTTAAAAATGAAAATAAGCAACATAGGGCACTAGCCAATTTAAAAAGAATTCATTTATAAGAAAGTATTTGGGTCATAGCAATATTTTCTCATTATACTCATTTTTACCCATTCTTGTCCATTTTAAAATTTCATCTTGAATAAGAATGAAAAAGAAAAAAGAGTTGAACAAAACATGGCCTCAACTTACACCTCTGCTAATTTCTTAAATTAATCTTTGAATGTCTAAATGATCTTTCCCATACAGCACAAAAGTATAGGGACACTAATCAAGAGCTGCTTCAGTTCCGAATCTCCTATCAATAAAATACTTTTCAACACCCTTTCAGCATCATTTAACATTGAACATCTCATATATAGTGTCTCATTTTTATGATGGGTCCTAGTCTCAGATGTGCAGTGTAAGATCATTTTGGATGTGCGTTGGAACTTGGAACGTGTTATGTTGGTAGGAGATTTCAACTACATACTTGGTGCTTTTTTTTTTAATTGAAGTTTGTTGTGCAGATAACAACTTTCAAGAATCTCTCATATTAAATAGCTTCCAAGAGAATCTGGATCTGCTCCTCACACTAATGTCACAACTTGTCTCAACCACACAATGAGAACATCTCTCATACTTGTATGTTAGTATTCACAGGAGATGTTTCCCAATACACAGTGGTATGTAGTTGTGAGGAAACCACTTGGGCACTAGAGAGGGTGAGCACCCTATCGCACCACGAGGTGTTGTTGGCAAGTCAGGTTCTTTAAGAATTCAGTTCTACTCGAGTGGTAAATTTCATCCACAGCTAAATACTGACAGGAAATTAATAGGGAACAAGTACCATGAGACAAAGATGAAAATGACTTTGAAAAGAGATTCAAAGAGTGCTTGAATTTGTCAAGAGAGAAGCAGATGGGGGTTGGTAATGCCCCCTAGTCGTCTGAGGAACAACGAGAGCTGGTCCGCTACTTGACTAAGGGAGCGAACCGTTGCAGATTACAGCGGTGCCCCAAGCCCAAGATGTCGGTTATGCCCTCAAGATAGTTGGAGCCGGTGCAAGTTCTATCGGTAAAGCCAATGGATAGAAGCATTGACGGCACAACGTCCTTGACCTGTTCTCAAACTTTAAATAGGTAGGACAGTGCAACTAATCCATTGAGTGTGCCATGAAATTGATACCTCCAAGTGGGCCATTTTTGGTAAGTAGAACCAAGGTTCTTAAGATTGACCCGGACAACGAACTGATCAGGGGTCTAGTTTTCGGGTTGAATGATCCGACCGTTCGAACCGAATAGACAACCCGTTCTGACAAAAAAATAAAAAAAAATTAAATAATAAAAAATAGTCAAAACCATTGTACGGTTTGAATGGTTCAACTGACTAGGTCAGCAGTTTACTGACCAAATCAATGTTTTTTTGGTAAAGATCCCGTTTGGAGTAAAACCAGAACCGGTCACCTAACCATAAGGAGAACTAGTGATGCAAGATGAACTAAAAATCGGGTTACGATGCCCAATTCCACACTAACCTATAACCCACAAAAGGTGTTGACAGGTTAAGACGACAAAATGGTTATCTAACTTTCACCATAAGTCGGTGAATCGCACTCCAGGTATGTTCATTATAGCTCTCATTTTGCCTTCACTTCATTCTTTACTTTCATCACCAACCTAGCCTCCCTTGCTTAGTGTTGCAATCTTTTGCTCACGTATATAACTTAAGCATCAGAGAATTCTATTTCGGATACCTGTACAACTGAAATCGTGAAAAAAAAAACAACTCGATTCAAACAACCACCTTGGCTCGTCTGACTTTCAATCCTCTCCTATTTTATGTTAACGCAGCACAATACTTATACAACTGAAATCGTGAAAAAAAAAAGAAGCCATCTTCTAGTCATCACCATTTTTTTTTCCATTTTTAGAGAGCTTCGATGGGGAACATGTTGGAAAGATAATCTCCATACTTCACGACGGAGGCCCGGATCCAACTAAAAATGAGGAGAATTTGGCAATTTTCTGTTCCCTCCACCAGATTCAATCCGTAAAGACTTGTTAGTGTAGATGGAATGATGACTTCAATTTTACAAATGAGGAGAAATTGCCAAGTTCTCCCTTCCCTGGTATGCGCATTATAACTTTAATTTTCAGTCATCATTCCATCACACGACACACAGTAGTAGCCAGAAAAATGAGAACAGAACAAGAACGGATGGAGTGGAACCGTGGAAGGAAGCATATAGATGTTCCCGTCTGGGCATGGAGCCGACCCCAAATCCTAAGCCAATACAGCTTAATTACTCTCAATTATTCGAAAAGTGATTGAGGAATCTTCATGACCCCATGAGTAAACAGAAATCTATTGTCCTAATTATGTTACACGCACAAGTTACTAAAATCTCTAACTCAATTACAAAGCCATCAATCTCTTGCTCAGGTATTAAACCCTGAATGGGGGCAACCCATTCATTCTCTCACCAAGAGAAACAAGAAGCAAAACCTCTATGGAGAGAGAAACAATTATCTCCTCTTAAGCACTGAACAATCTTCTTACTTTGTGAATGAGCCTTCGACATATGGGGCATACCTTGTTTTCTTCATCCACAATCCTGCAAAATGCATCCTTGTGAGCTACCTAAATGGACTGAAGAATGAGCTTGATGTAACAAATTCCAACTCTTTGCATATTACCTTTGGGCGCATGTATAGCAGGTGGCACAGTGACCGCAAGGAACAAAGAAACAGTTCCGTTGTTCGTCATAGCAAATCACACATATCTTTCCATCATACAAGTCCTCTGAAGAGCCACACATTCTTGACTCAGGATCTTCTTCTTCTTCACCCGTCCCATAAGAAAATTGAATTCTCTTCTCTGGCAATAATGGACTGGTCTCATTCTCTGTTACTTCCTCTGTTTCTCTCTCCACCATTGTCTGGCCTTCACAGGCTCCTAGATATTTCAAAATCAGTGAAATGATAACCACAATAAATCCTGCAGCAAAGAGACAAAGCCCATTTCATTAAGTCCCTGGAAGCTTTCAAAGAGCAGACAAAGAGTTGAGTTTATATCTGAAACTGTGTAATACCTAAAATTGCAATATAAGCAATCAGGCGAGCAATGAAGGAGAGCTCAATATACCATTCATCAAGAACACCCTGTGATTATTTATGCACAAGCAGTTAGGAAGCTTAATTCTGGTTTGGAAACCGAAATAATAAAGTGAATGAGAAAGGATTGAGTTATTACATGATTGGGAGTTGTTAGAACGACAAAATGAGTTCTGGGGAAGAGAAGTTTGAGTTGGCACGACCCATTTATTGTTGAACAATTGCTTGCTGCTTTGCTTGTGTCATACATCTTTGACCAGACATTGATGCTCAATGCCATTGTAATGCTTTTGGGACTCGTATTCACTACTTCTACATAGTAACTGTCAGCTTCCTCAATTATGAATCCAACTTCTCCCTTGCCTGGCATTCGATTCAGAAGAAACTAAATAGGATTACAGAACATACACAGTTTCTTCTCTCTTGTTGTTGCTATCATTTGAAGAGTTCAACTAAAATTTAAGCATGGGTCTATTGTAAATCGTAAAGAAATTCCTTGAATTAGAACTTGACAACTTTTTGGTACTAAAGAAAAAAAGAAGAAGAAGAAAAGAAAAACTCAGCTTAATTTACTTTCTCTTAGCTAATAAAATGCTCTCCTTGAATGAATAGATTCTGGAATGTGTTACCTTTTGTTGGACTGCTGAGAACGAGGGAATGGGAGGAATTTGTGGAATATGGAACCAATGTTTTGAAACTCCGCTCTCCTATGGAAGAGTCAAACATAATTAATGATTTCGTGAGATTAAGGAAAACCCAGAAATCTAATATAAATGACAATACCTTTAATTACAAGAATTATGAGGTCACTATCACTAAAATTACTACTCTGAACTTCCCATCTCAAACTGATCCTTGATCCCTCGTTCAACCACAATGCGAATTCCTAAAACAAGAATAGTTCAAGTCCACAATTCTTTAGATCATCTATCAAAATAGGGGAAATAAAAAAAAAAAAGAGAAGATGGAAGAATAAAATTGAAAATAAAATAGAAAACAGAGAAGATGTTGAATATTACGAAAGAAGAATAATACCTGTTTACGGTATGATCCAATAATGACATAATTTGAGACGTTCCAGTTAGTTTCCAAGCTCAATTCTGGCTTTTCTCGGAACCCATAAAGAAAAACCCCTTTCTTTACATCATCTCTAATCTGAATCTCGTCTACAAAGATAGAACTTGCCTTCAACAACCGCGACGAATTTGGTCCCAACGTCAAATGGCTGTTCCCGTAATACCCATACCGCAAACTCAACGAAACTGCAAGAAACATGAGCACGTCTTGTTTCAGAAACGATTAATTAAGGAATGCTGCAGAGAAAAATTATAAAGATTACATGCCACATAACCATAAAGTTACTGGAACGATCCATCGGGAATAAGATTCATGCCCACTGTACGAATAGCTTGGAGATGGGAAAGCTGGTCTACTCATCGCCACAGAGACCAAGAAATGAGTGGAAAGAAAATGCACTTGGACAGAGAGAGTGAGAGACGATGGTCTAAGGAGGGCATGACAGGTAAGGAAGACCAGTGGATGAGAGAAGGTACTCCACTTCGGTTTCAACTAACTGGTTTTCGAGTTTGGCGGGTAAGTGGAGAATATTTTTCTGAACGATAGGTGGTCCGCCGTTCTACCTTGCCGTTATTAGGAAATCGTAACAGGGAAAAACAAAGTTTTAAAAACCGACCCGCAACTCGAACCGCTTTGATCACTGGTTTTTAGGTCAGTAGTTTAATCGTCCGGTTCGAACAGATGGTCTATTTTAATTTAAAAAATAATAAAAAAATTAAAAATACTTAAAATATAAAACGACCAAACTATTATCTCAGTCAAATAAATTAACAGTTTGACCACCCAGATCAATGGGTCATTGACCAAACCAATAATCTTTGTCCAAGGACCAAGGGTGAGATGAAACTGGTAAACAACAGTTTGAAAATACTAGAGAAAGAGTGTAAAGAGATAACCATACTTTGGCGAGTTTTAATTTGCTAACCACTTGCCGCTGCCTATGTCATGAGTACACGGGAATATCTCATATGCCCTTTAACTCAATCTTTTAAAAACCGATCCAAACTTGGAGCTGCCCACTATTTTTCGGGTTAGTGGTTCAATTTTTCAGCCCGAATGAATGATTTATTACAATTTAAAAAAAATAAAAAATAACTGTCAATGGTTAATTAGATAACCTGGATCAACAAGTGGGTTGGCCAAATCAACATTTTCCGCAAAAGAACGGTTTAGGAGTGAAATTAAATCAAATAATTAATTGCCTGGATGATTTTCAGGCCGAACAGTCCAACCATTGAATCAACAACGTTCGAAAACTATGCTTTAACGGTAAAATACTTATACTTCCCTTGACGTTTTTGAAATGTACTTAAACCTCTCCTCACCTTTAAAAGTTGCAAAGACCTATCCTCACTTTTGGTTTAAAAGTTGCTTATTGACCCCTTCCATTAATTCTAGTGGATGGAGAGTGAAAAATTCCCAAACTAGTGACTACCTTTATGTGTTTACCAGAAAAGTTAAAATTTCATATTACCAAAATTATCCTTCTAGGATTATTCTGCCATCACTTGAAATAATTCTCACTTAGTTCCTCTTTTCCAGTTCTGCCATCCAATTCAATATTCTCACGGATTCTACAAAAAAACCTGTGTGCAAACAAAGAATACCTACTTTTGAAGTTGATTTCACACAATATTTTGAGTTTACTTTGATTTTCTTTAAGTTTTTAGATGTAGCTTTTTTTTCATACGTTGAATACATTATTAACCTAAGTTTTTTGTGTTTTTTTTTATTCTTGATTTTTCTTGATCTATTATTGTTTATATAGCAAACAAGATGAATAAAAAGTATATATAAATTGTACTTGAGTCTAGAACAGATCATACCTTGTTTTGTTATTGTTTATATAGGCAACTTCACTGTTTGTTTAATACCTGGTTCTACTCGTAAAGGGAGGTCTTTGCAACGTTTAAAGGTGGGGGGAGGTTCAAGTACTTATCAGAAACGTTAAGGGAGGTTTAAGTATTTTACCCAAACATGATTCATGGGTATTTAACATGCAACTAAGAAGGGGTCAGTAAGCAATTTTTACACCAAAAGTGAGGAGAGGTCTTTGCAACTTTTAAAGATGAGGGGAGGTTTAAGTACATTTCAGAAATGTCAGGGGAGGTTTAAATATTTTACTCAAAACTAGGGGTGGCAACGAGCTACTCGATCTTGGCTCGGCTCGGTTTCAGCCGAGCTCGAGCCCAATTCAATGGCTTGATTATTAATATATATAATAAAAATATTATAATTCTTAATTTTTTAAATATAAAATAAAATTTGTTTATATATAATTTTTATTTTTATAATAAAATACTTATAAAATATAAAACGAGCTAAACCGAGCCAAACTCGAACTCAAAGTTCTGACTCGAATCGAGTTCGAGCTTGAACCTAATACTATTTGACTCAGCTTGGCTTGAATCCACCCCTACCCAAAACTATATTGCGTTTGTTCAAAAGAACCAAAAATAGGACCAAAGAAAAGTTATACGGGTTTGCTAGATGGAATTAAAACAAAATGGTTCTTTTTACCAAATTACCCTTGGTAATAAAATATCACTTATACGGTTATACCTCAAAATTATATTTTAAAATTGATTAAAGTCTTCATCATAGCTAGTATAATGGCACGTGCAAGATCAACCTTAACGTATTGGGCCAAGTCCAATCCTAAAAGTTGCGAGCCCAGGCCTAAACAAGAAACCTAGGCCCAATCCCAAAAATTTTTGGGCCAGACCGAGATTCTAGGCTAGACATTTTTTTTTTTTATTTCATGTGTAAACATACAATATTTGTACAAGGATTGTCTAACACTTATCATAAGAAAATAGCAAAAAAAATAAAAAAGAAGAAAAAATGGTAAAGAATTCCATTGGTCATTCAATTCTAAAATCAATTCTTATTTATACTTTTTTCCTTATTCAAATTAAAACATTTAAAAAACATAAAATCTTTTAAATCTAAAAAAATATGATATTTACATAATATATCTTTTATTTATTTATTTATTTATCATTATTCTTATTAACTGGCTTTGGATGTGATGGTCATGGTTCCTCTACCTTTTTTGATGTGGACTTAAATGGAACAATTATTCTGTTTTTAATTTAATTATATCTTCTTTTCTTCAATGCAATTTCTTTTCTCATACCCATTACCCTGATTTGTTAATTAGTGCAAAACTAATATATATAAAAACTTACAAGCAATTAATACTAATTTGATTTGTTTTTTTTTTTTCACCCGGGATGTGCCAGTGAAATATCAAAAATGGCATGTGCTCAAAATTCAAATTGCTCTTAAAAAAAAAGAACAACAAACTCTAACCACGTTGCAAGCAATTCTCCTCCTCGACAGAAACCTGTTAGCGTTGCAGTGCATGCCAGAAACCTGGGGGTAATTGAAAGGCGTTATTTGATTTAGAATCTCATGAGATTTTGAGAGAGAGAGAGAGAGCTAACAAAATGATAGACCGGGACCTAGTTCTGGTCCGGAAAGGAAGAAAGATTACACAATGAATGAGGTAAATAATAACACCAGCAAATTTTCATGAGAGAGAGAGAGAGAGAACGCGAATAAGTCGGGCTTAAAAAGGAAGCTTTACAACCCTAACCATATACCGTCATATCTCTCAAGCTTTCTCCAACTCGGTCGTCGTCATTTGCAAAAGAATTGCCTGATAAAATAAATCTCCTTCATACTTGATTCGTCTTCCTCTTCCTTCTTCATTCATCTTATTTTTCTTTTTGTAGTTGGTTTTTGTCCTTCATCTCTTCTAATTTTTAGTAGTTTTCTAAGAATAGTTTTCACTCATACGGTTTATACACTTATTATCAGCTGTGTGTGTGTGAGAGAGAGAGCTCCAGTGCTCCATCTTCCTCTGTTCAATTTGCTTGTGTTTCCTTAACCGTCCTCTTAGAAGATCGCGGGTTTTCCCAATAGAAAAAAACAAGAGAAATCAAATATAGAGAATATGGGCAGAGTAAAGCTTCAAATTAAGAAAATCGAGAACCCAACGAGCAGGCAGGTCACTTTCTCCAAGAGGAGAAATGGACTCGTTAAGAAAGCTTATGAACTTTCTGTTCTCTGTGATGTTGATATTGCTCTCATCGTCTTTTCCCCCTCCGGAAAAGTCAACCTCTTCTCGGGGAAAAAAAGGTTTCCATTGTATCCTTTGGACTAAATCCATTCTCTGTTCTTTTTTGTATCTAGATAGTTTATTTTAAAATTTTACTCGGTTTTTTGTTTGCTCAGGATCGAAGACGTTCTGTCCCGATACATAAATCTTCCAGAGCATGAGAGAGGACGGTGAGCTTGCCATCTCTCATCTCTACTGCTTTTGTAGGTTTCTAACAGATTATTTATTACTTGATGTGTTGATGGTTTTTTCTTTTGTCCCTTGACATGGATCGATCTGATTCTTTGCTTTTGCTGGATGCCATAATATATAATTACAAAGCCTACATAACCAAGAGGTAAATACCTTCTACAACATACTTGCTAACTTTCTTCTTCTTCTTCTTCTTCTTCTTCTTCTTCTTTCTTGGTGTTGATGTATTTTTGGTTTAAACATTCGCAGTTTCTCCAAAGAGATCTTGACAGAATGAAGTGTGAATATGATCTAGCTACCCGAGCAACATGGTGTGGATTTTATTTCTCCTTTACTCAATATATTCCTTCATGAGTTCATTTTTTTTTCTTTCCGTCTATCCTTCTTTTTTTAAAAAAAAAAATTCTCCTTCATCTCCGTTTGTTGAATACTAGTCGAGTTAGCCGCAGCACAAGGAGCATCAATTGTCAAATTGAGGTACGTTGATTTGAATGTGAACCTTGGGCTTTATCAAGTAAGTCACCTCTTCATCAAGCTTCTTTTACTTAATAATTCATACAGAACTACTTCATCTGGATTACAGGATCTTCAAAATGAAATGGGTAGATGGCAGTTTCGATTGAAGGACGCCGAAACGCAATTGAGGTAGGACTAATCTTTTATCCCAGTCTGTAATTAATTAGTTCCACTTCAGTCTCCAAAAGAAACCCTATGTCTGGAAGAAATTAAGAAGCGATCAATTGATATCTGAACACCCTAGCTACCTGCTCTCATAGGAGCTTTGAAGGAGATGCTCTTCCGATCACCACATTACGTGAAGCTGTTCTCCAGGAGTATATCTTAGAAGAGGCTTTGAGACGTGTGCGAGAGAGGAAGGTATCACATACTGGTTCAGTCGTGTTTCTTTAACTTATTCGCTTCTTTAATCGGATGAACTCATGAAAATTTCCATTTGCGAACCAACAGCTTGCCCTGAAAGGAAATTGTTTTTCAACTAATGTCCAGCCAAGCTCTACTCAGGTACGTAGATATAATTTTTTTTCTTTCAACATTTATGCTTCTTGTGTTGTGTTGCTTTAATTAATTGAATCAAAACAATATTATTAATTGTGTATTAATTTTGCTTGTTTATGTCTAACAATCAGGTGTTTCTGCCACCTCAGAGTTCGAACGTAAACGGGTTTGTTACAGGAAACTCAAACCGTGTCTTTGATCGATTTCCACCACACTTCCAGAGGATAAACTCTTTGGATTCATCAATTGGCCTTCTTCCTGAAAGGTGTTTAGTTAATTATCATGAAAAAAATTGCAGATTGAGCTCTGTATTTATTTATTTTGAACTATAAATTACACTTTGCGTGCAGGGATTATTATCAAAGAGAACACATTGCGCAGTTTCTGCCACCATCCTCGACGTTCATTCAAGTAAACGGTATGCAACCATCGGTCGATCGTATCAACCCACATGGTAGACTGGAGGATGCCATCGACCTGCGCCATCCCGAGTTCCGGCATGCGAACCTGGATCATTGGCGACCTGAAAGCCATCCTATAGGTAAAGAGCTTGCTTACTATGCCACTAATTCTACATCAGTGCATACAGCTTTATACATTAATAATGATTACAATATGCGCTTGAGCTTAGCCTAGTTTAACCTCTCTCGAGTCTCGATTTTTTTTTTTTTTTGTAAGATCTCGAGTCTCGATTTACAATTTTAAATAAGTTGATATGATATTCAATAATAGCATTTTCTTTACTTATAGAATGCAAAATGACTATAATAAATCTGTAGTGGGCCGAGCTTGGGCCGGGTGAACTGGATTGAGTTGACCTGATCCTATAAAAATTTAGGCAAATTGCTAAACGTAAAATTTCTTAAACTACCTTAAGGAAATCGACTAACTACACCCTTTCAGTATTTTCTTAAATTACTTTTATTATTTCTAACAATTGATTAAATCTTCGTCACCGACAGTATCCGTTAATGAAAGGATTAAAAAGATTATTTTATTCATCATTCTTCTTTAAATTTTCAAGAATAGGAAGCAGATTACTAGTCTCCTTTCGATGTACCTTGCTCTACAAATACAAATCTATGGTCTCTCCCGATATTGCTGCTCGAAAGAATGACGCCAATGAGGTTATTGAATGAAATATTGAAATGAGTTAAGAGTTTTAAATTTCCAAGGGAGTCTAGGATTGATGCCAATGAGGTTGTTGCAGGTTTTGATCTCTAGGATCCTATCCTGAAATCGGTTAACCGGTGCTATTGGATTTTAATCTCATAAGAGATTAAATCTAATGGGTTTAATTGCTCAATTACATGAGAAATTGCACCTACACACTTGTTTGAAAAAATTAGTTTTTTTCTTACAAAACCCAGTTTTGAACTTGTCCCACATTGAAAAATTATAAGCTTTGTTTTCATTATTTTAATAGGAGCTGATTTGCACTCCTTAGAAATAGTATAGGAGAGTATGGAGGTTTGATACCGTACAACACGTGTGCACACGTGTGTGTGGTGCAATGAAGCGCACTTTGCTCGCGAAGGGTGACTTTGGTTTTGGTGTGATGCTAACCATTGATCACCGTTGATGAAATCAACGGTCACGATTCGATCGGGTGTGATCAAGAGCCACAATTCAAACTTAACAAGATGCCTTCTCTAAACCAACACCTACCTTTTCTTCATACCTCTTCATAAACCATTTAAGGAGCATGAATCAGACTTCTCAAACACACATTTTTGAAATCCACTTTCTTTCTCTCTCTCTCTCTCTCTCTCTCTCTGTGTGTGTGTCCGGTTTGCTACAGTCTTATAGAAGGTTTCTTCGGAGACTCTTCAACTTTGCTGGTTGCAGATTCTCGTCCAAGGCTCTGTTGTATCCTGGGAACGGATTTGCCTGTAACCCAACAGCAAACTCAGTGAAACTGAGTGGGGGCAAATAACGTTCTAAAGACAGTGTCTTCAGATGCGCCTTAGAGCTTCTCCTCCAAAGTTTCAGTGACCCCATTTTCCAACAGGTGCATTGACAAAACTAATATTTTTCAATCCGAAGACATCAAAAGGGATTATTTCTCTCACTCTCTCTTGCCTCCGCTCTCCCCTATTCCACTCTCTACCAGCGATGGTGTACCTCCGGCACCACCCCTCCGCTTGACCTCAATCAAGGATCGGAGTTATGGGTATTTTCAATCGCCCTATTATTCCCCTCTATCATACATTGAGTTGAAATCAAACAACTAAGTAGTGTTGTTTGTCATCTTCCCCAATGAGAACAACGAACCTAGTGGCGATGTCACTCAGTTTTTCACCCATGTTATTGGCTTCTCCAAAATGGTTGTTGGTTCACTCTTAGACCTCAGTTATCTCCCTCGATCGAGGGAAACACTACAACATCTAGCATATTTTCTGTGTCAACGTCCAAGTTCTGACCACCGGAAGTTGTATGCATCTTCTTTGTGTCGTATGAGGAGTGTATGTGTTTGGGAGGTTGGGGTTGAATGAATAGCTGCTGCTACTTCTGCTGAAGGCATCTCAAGATAAGCAATTTGTGCGTGTGTGTGTGTGTGTGAAGAAGCAAACAGGGCGTTGCATTCTACGGTAGCTTTTGTGCCGCTTGTTCCCCTTCTCCATAACCTCCATGGTTTTTAAAACTGACCCGGTGAGCGAACCAGTTAGGGATTTGGTTACTGGGTCAAACGCCCAAATGGTCAGGCCGTTCTAACAAAAAAAATTAAAAAAATTAAATTTTGAAGAACAGTCAAAACCATTTGAATGGTTAACCGGTCAATTCAGCGGTTTGCTGACCAAAATCAACGGTTTTGGGAAAAAACGGAACCGGTCAGGTTCGGTCCGACCGTCCAGTCCGGTTTGTTTTTGAAAACCATAATAACCTCCCTCACACTCCAAGAATCATTTCTTCATTTACACCTCCGAACTCCCCTATAATTCCATCCATTCTCTACTTCATTGCAGTTGTTTTGCTCTATGAATCACACAGACAAGAATCAACAGAGCACTGATCCAAGTTCCATTCACTCTCTGCTACCGTTACGTACACCCAGATCAAGAAACCTGATCCAAGTTCACCCTGGCACAGCCTGGCTTAAAGGAAAAAAGGAAGTCTCGGTTCTGCCACTGCGTTGAGACTGGCAACTGGCAAGGAAGGAAATAGTTAAACTAGGCCCTGAAGACTCTCAGAGCTTTGCAAATCATCAAAGGCAGATGAACCCATCTCTGATTCCTATGTTGTAGGCAATCCTGATGCGACTACGGATGAATCATGTCTCTGATTCCTGTGTTGCTACTCATGGTTTTCAAAATCGGACCGGACCAGACAGTCAAACTGGAAAAATCGGGAACCAATCACCTGACCAGTTCCGTTTTTCCCCAAAACCGTTGATTTTGGTCAGCAAACCGTTGAACTGGTCGGTTGACCATTCAAACGATTTTGACTGTTTTTCAAATTTTTTTATCAGAATGGGTCGACCGTTTGGGTCGAACCCGATAACCAGACCCCTGATCAGTTCGGCCACCGGGTCGGTTTTGAAAACCATGTTGCTACTAGGAATTGTTACCGAGATCCATAAGCTCCAAGCTTTGGCAAGATAGAATCTCCTTGAGTACATTCCCCTAGAGAAACTTTGCTTCTTACAAACACATAGGCTATTCTCAAAGGGGTACAAATTTGTGCGAGAAAACTTCCACTAAGATTGTTGAAAGAAAAATCAAAACCCTCGAGATTTAAACATTTGTAAAAGAGTCAAATGTGGAGGTGCAGGTGGCAGATTTGGGTTCCTTGTAGAGCTGAGAGATACTCAACAAATCTGAGACGAGTGAGAGAACAAAGGGGAAGAAGGAGAGAGAGAGAGAGAGAGAGAGAGAGAGATAAAATTGCATTTTAGAAAAAAAAAATTATACATCACCTGGTGTCACATGTACATGGAATTTGATGGAATATTAGCACCATAAGGGTAGAGAGAGCTTGTCAATTGTCAAAAACAGTAGGGGCACTTTAAGACAATACTGAAACAATAGAGGTATAGTTAGTCAATTTCTTAAACCTTAGGGGCAGTTTAAAAAATTTGCCCATTGCTAAAACTTGAAGCTTCTAACCCTTGCCGATATTAGAAGAGTCCGGATCTACTCCTCACATAAGCACACCTCATAGCCACATGGCATCGTGTATGTTCTCTTCAGTACCAACTGCAAGCCCTTCCTCCTTTTCTGAAATTGATTTATTTTTCAAATTTACCGTTCATATCAGTCATTCAAAGGTAAAGCTGAAACTTTAAACCCTTATTTTTTCTTCATAAATCTTGTATCATTTTTTCATAAAAACCAACCTCAGTAATAATTGTATGGGTATTTTGGTCATTTTCATGCTTCTTATTACAATAATCTAATATTAGGGGTCTATTTGCATTTAGGTCAAAAAGTAAGAGGTGAATGCAATTACCAAATGTTTAAACTTCAAGAAAGGTTTCATACGCAATTTATCTAAAAACAAAATATGTAATACACGCATACTTGAACCCATAAAAATATTTATTTGATATAGACAATTATTCTTCTAGTGCTTATTGTTTATTCAACCATTCTGTCAAGAGCAAATCAACCACCATTAATTGTTTCATAATCGCCTAGTTTCAAAATGATTCATGGCCACGAATATCTTTGCAGGGAATTGTGGCTCCGCAGTGCAGAGCCAAGAGAACGATCTCTCTTTCATCTGTTATTCTCTCAGATAAAGACCATCATGACGAAGTGCTTTGTCACCAAATCAATTTCGTCCCAACTCAGGAGGGGAACGCCGAATTCGGTTTTTGTGTTGTGCTGCTTGCTAAGCGTGAAACATAAAATAAGGTGGCATAAACAAAATTTCTATCTTGTTGGTTTAGAGGAGGACCTAATTGTTATATCAGTTTGGTGGTTTCAAGCTTTAAAAGAACGAGCATGTAATTGTTGGACCTGTTTAATTTATGAGCTATAATTTATCTGTTAAGTGTTGGATAATTGGTAATCTCTTTCGGGCTTTTTCCTTTGAGCCAGGTAGCTGGGCTCAACTAAACATTGAGCTTATTGGTTGAGATTTTGCCCACTGTAATGGGCTTGGTTGTCAATAATTCGTCCAATCAAGGTTCTAAATATCAACACGGGCCTATACGTTTTTTTAGTTTTATGTTTTTTCCGAAATCGGTTCAGAGGAGTTGGTTTAAAGCTTGGATACCCTTTGAACCGGTGATTGACCCGATATAACTCCTAGAGGGATGTATCGTTAAGCCATCGGCATGATACGGGTCGATACTTTGAACCTTTGTCCAATTTAAAACCACTCCATTTATGTCTAGCGGTGGCAATTGGACGGATTTGGTTGGGTTTAGTTTGGGTTGAGCTTCAATCCAATCCATCTAACCCGCCAACCCATTAATGACCCAGTTATATAAAATTAAATGGGTTGGGTACTTGGGTTCAATTCAAACTCACCTTGACCAATCCAACCCTCCCAAATTTATTAATCTTATATTTATGTACTTAAAACAAAAGCAAACCCATTTGATTATGTTTGGATTTGATCAAACCACTTAGGTTCACACCAGTCAGACCAACTTGAACTATCTAATTGGATTGTCTTCGAGCTACTCACATTAAGATTGGTTGAACCGTTTGGATTTTGGATCAATTTAGTTGGATCAAACCAGGCTGGTTCAGTCAATGGTGAATTGACTCGGTCTGCCCCATATCAGCTTGTGCACAGGTTTGGGGGCGAAAGATTGGTCCTAAACGTGTCAAGGGAAGTAAATTGGGTCAGTAATTGTGCTTGGCCTTGGCCGAACCAGTCCGTTCGGTTCCACTTCGGATTCAGGTGGACCCAAATCAGCATAGTCTGG